TCCTATACGGCCTTTGTCGTCGAGGTCCTACGTTGTGTGGCCCTATGTCGTGGCCCTATGGCGCGGTCAGGCCGGACGAAGCGGGTCAGTGTGCCGTCTCGCCAGCCACCGGCTCGGGGCGTGGCGGGGCGTGGCGGGCGGGGCATGCGACCGACAATTCTATATCGCGGAAGGCGGCCCACGCGACGCGAGACCGGGCCCGCGCTGCGCCACGCCGCCCGCGCCGGCTCCTCCTTCACACTTTTCTTTTCGTTGGGTCGCATCGGTCAAGAGAGGGCGGCCAGGGGCCCGCCGGCTGCAGTGAGCGAGCAGGGCATTCTGCATGTTGGCCAAGACCACCGTGGCCAAGACCGACCCGCTCCGACCCAGCCCGTGAGTCAGGCCTCGACCTGTCGCGCGCCCCGCCCCACCCCGCCCCGCCGCGCATCGGGAGAAAGGCGACGCGTGCGCCTCACTTTTTCGCGTTTCTGATGAGTCAGCGCGCCGGCCACCCGGAGCAGTTCGGGGACCGATCGCCACACCAGAACTGCACCGTGGGCGGGCGACGACTCTTTTTAGGGAACTGCAGCAGACGCACGGCATTTTTTTCCCCACAAGTTTCTTTGAAAACGACAGCAGCGCGTTGGTACGAAGAAGCAAAAACAAAGAGTAAAAACCGAGACGACAAGTCTGCGACGACGCGGAGCGCGAGGCGTGGTCTGGACCAGTGATGCTGCTGGTGCAGGTGGCAGGCCAGCTAATTTTAGCTCCCGAGTGGCTCTGAGAAAAGCGTCGCACTTCTGCCTTTCGCGTCTCGCCGTAGCTGCAGCAGCACATGTTATTGTGCGGTCCCCAGCCCCGCCGCGCACCTGCGAGGGCCCAAATGAAAAGGCCTTCTTGTCCACGCGGCTGGGAGGGAGTACCTCGGTATTTTTTGTAATTTTCAGGTTTGGAAGTGAGTGTAAGCAAAATCAAACGCACAGCACAATACTTTGACGCCGCCCCCCGCGGAGCGAGTGAGCGGTGCGGCTCCTGGAGTGCGCCGGCTCCAGCGCGTCCTGGGAACTGGAGCAGCTGGAGCGGCGAGGAGGCCTGGCGGACCGGGTGGGCCGGGAGAGCTCAGGCGACTCTCGCATGGGATTCACCACGCCGCGATCCGCCACGGGCCTCGCGCCTTACAAAGTCTCATCCGCCAGCAGCCCGCCACTCTTCAGATAGCAACTCTTCTTCTTCTCCTCCTCCTCCTCCTCCGCGAGGCCCTGCCCTCCGCCCCGCCGCGCCCCAGGTGCACCGGCTCTGCGCGCAGCGTGCACTACGTGAGTGACCGACAGAGGGAAACAACGGTGCTTGGCCTGCCACTCCGACCTGCCATATCCTCCGCGCCCAGCCGGGCCGCAGCGACGACCCGGCGGCGGCGCCCCACGGTCAGACAGACTTGCAGGCCTAAAGTACCCTAAAGTAAGGACAGGGGGGAGGTGGCTGCACTCACACTGTGTATAAATATGTTGCAATGATGCACGGTAAATATAACTTCTTGTTTTTTCAATAAGACCTGGCCTTGGATGCCATTGTTGTTCTCCATAAAATCTGGGTCTTCAAATACAAAAAAACCTTTTTATTTTTTTACCGTATGGCGGGATGAAAAGTTACAGAAAGCGAAACCTATATTTTCTAACGATGTAATATTAATGTGATGGTTTGACTGATGTTTGTCATCACCCGGTGACTTGAACGCGGGCGGCCGTGCAGCGTGCAATGGAGGCCCTACCTACTGGGTAAGGTTACGGTGTTACCCCCTCAAATGTTAATAGCATTTCCCATAGGGGACCCGTTAGGGATTGTGAATACGGCCAAGGAAAAAGTCCAAGTTTGGCACAACACGCGACCTAAAAAATTATCACGTGATGATGTCACACATCCATGAAGTCAAGTGTGATAGCGCCGTATGCTGACTCTTCCCTTCCTCCTTAAACAAGTATTTGATTCCCTTTTCCGTTATGTGCTTGAATGATGATCAAATTATAATTCAAACACTAGAGCTTCTAACCGCAAATAAACAACTAACCACCTTCCTCTCCATAACTCCAAAGAACTTGAAATGTACATGTACACGTATACTCTGTGTATAGTTTATCGACACAATGTGTCCAAATTTAGGAACATAATTGCACCGGATTTCGATGTGCACAAAAACTTTGCCTTTTTAGGAACGATACTTTTCCTGTACATTTAGAGTTTATTTGGAGGCACAATATAACACAATTTCCCACCCCGACCGTGAATCTTTCAAAAACAAAGTAACAAAGTACCTAGCCAGGCGTGACCTCTTAATCGTCTGGGCCTACCCAACAGCACTCACCGACACGAGACAGGCAATCCAAAGCGGTGTCATGATTGCGGAGATGTTGCACTCAGTGGCACTCATTCACTCGCGGGCACTCACTCGCTCGCCCGCTCACTCACTGGCACTTGACGGTCGCACTCTCACGGTCGCACTCTCGCGGTCACACACTCGCGAGCGCGCCGACGCATCATAAGGGCACCACGGGTCCCACGCGACGGGCCAGGTTACCTCCGTGCGCTCCGCTCAACAGCATGCCGACAACTGACCGGGGCC